ACTGGGTGAAAATGTCCCATTGATCCCAGAGGTTAGAGGAGACTAACAATCTGTTTTGAACTAATAGGAAAGAAAAATAACTCAAATTTTCACCCATCACAACCAGAATATGCAAAACAGCATCTGTGAATGCACAAGAAACTTTAAAGTAGATGAGCTACAGCTGCAGAGGACCACACCTGCCAGCTAAAAACAGGAAACTGAAGCTATAATTCATATGAGCTCATTAAAACTGTGCAAGAGAGGATTAGATAGTCTTACAAGAAAATTCAGATCTATCTCACTTGTCTCAATATTCGCAAGCAACATAGATCCTCAGACAAGTTGCCTCTCCATTTATTTTCTGTGTATTCATCTTAACAAACCAATCTCCATTTTTTTAAACGAGCATAGCCTAAACTGTATAGACTTCAAATACTGGATCTTAAAATATCCATTTAGATAAATCGACATGTTTTCATATTTTGGATTTGTGAGAGCATGCACACATATCTGTAATTCACACCTATTTACAACCAGTACCAGATCATTCTCTTTCTGTCTGTCACCTTATTTTGTCTGGCATATTCTTTTGTTCATTCATCATACCTCATTTGTCTGGCTTAAGTGGAGGTGTGAGATTATTTCCACTTAAGACCACAACTATACCGGTATTAGCATGGATCCGTGTATAGTAGTATAGTATGTATTCAACTGAGGACTGCTAGGGAAATGTGCATAGGTATACGGGTACTTACTGCACAGAAAAGTTACACATTTAAAATCTCACAATCATGTCAACATCCTAAAAACATTTTGAAAAAGCACTTTTTGGCATGAGTCTGAGTCATTCCAGTTAGGCATCAAATCATAGATGCTGCACAATAGTATTGCACAACATTTAATAATGAACTGTCATGCCACAACCTTTGTGGTGCAATCAAGAGCAGCTTTTAGTTTTACAGGTTTGTTGGGTCTTCCACGAAAGTGTAACGGCATTTTGGTGTAGTGGAAATGCCGCGCAACTGGGTCTAAATTTATATGAAAGTAATAACAGTTTAGTGACAAAATGTAATTAGTCACTAGTGCAGATAAGATTTCTGGTTCCTCTGAAATTGACACAAATGGTGCTATCAAGTGCTAGTGCACAGATTTCAATAAAAGGATGGGGAACGGGGTTGTCTGGCACCGCTGTCTACTATACCCATTTTCTAGTGTTTAGTGGATGGTTGGTTAGATGTCAGTGGCCACTGACAGTCATAAGCAGGCACAGGCGTTATTGTTCAAGACCTTTATAAAAGCTCCTTTTTGGCTTAGTTTTTTTACTTTTAAATCTTTTCACTTCAATTTCCCAGCTCAAACCCTACTCAGAAGGCCGTTTTGGAGCCGTATGGTTTTAAACAACTTTTCTTGGAAGAGCTTAGTTCAGAAACAAGACAGTAAAACATGAGCTAACTTGCTGGGTTATGAGAAGTTTTTACACTGAAATCAGTAGTGGGTGGATTAGTAGAAAAGGCACAAAAAGAACTTCCAGATTTTTAAATTCTACACGTTTCTCTGAATAGAACAGATTAATGTTAAAAAGAAATAATGTGTACGTAAGAATTCTGTGTACTTACATTAATTATGGTTGTTCAAGCTGCCAGATTTGGGTTTTTTTTCCAAGAAGCATGATGATTGATGTTAATGTTCTTGGTTTATTTACAGAGTCCAGCTATTAATCTGACATCAACTGGTTATGTATAGCTAATAGTTTTTTACAATGCTAAGTGTATTTGATTACCATGTGTTCGACAATTATGTTATGCTAAAACAAAGTGTGTTTACTTAGTCAACCCAGAGCTGTAGTGGTTTGATAAATAAATCATAATTTTTAAACTTTAATCTCACTATATGCTCTTTACATGAGCCAGCAGTCTAGAATGTATCTCTTGCAAAATGTCAGAACAAAATGCCCTTTAAAATTTTGATGGGACTTGAATACAAGCAGTGGGATCAAACATCTTGTAACATCTCATATGTACATTTTGGCAAGAGGGAAATGCAAAAAGAATATTACAGCATGTATGCCTTGAGCAAAAATAAAGTCTGGCTAACCCACTATTTAAAGTGTTAATCTGTACCATACAATTATGCATATAATAAAAGAAACAGAGAGAGAGAGAGAAAGAGACATGAGCAAAGAAGACAAACACAGGTAAGTATTCCTACATGTCACAACATGCAATAATTGAAAAAGCTTTTCCTGGAAATAACACTGTCTTCCAGCTGCAGTTCTTGGAATAACTCTTAAAGAATAGCTCAAATGGGTTGCAGGGTAGGCCCAAAGACTACATTAGTCTAAATCACATAGCTGTTTAAAGTTCAGAGTTCAGTATTCCAACACCAATCCTTGGGAATTTGATTGGCATCTCGGGGTTTGAGAAGACATGTTCTAAGGTCATTAATCCTTTAGTCCATAAGAGTGTCATTTGCAGCCTTGGGGACATATATTCAACCTCTGAAAAAGTGTTTCTCAAAAGAGCCATTGTTGCTTTTGATGATATAGAACATTAACAGTAACGAGGGGCCCAAAGTTGAAAAGCCAGACTTGCTCTTACCTTTACAATATTATAATGTATAAATGAGACACCACAGACAAACAAAGTATCATAAAATCACCCCAAAAACACAACAGGGTGGGGATCGATTTAACCATGGCCAGTAACAAAAAAGCAACGTTTTACTCTCTACTGTCCACAGACATTTACAGGTGTTGCTATGTAAAACGAAAACAAAACAAGTGCACTTAAAAGGCTCAAAAAAGGGAGTATCTTGTGAACACATGTTATAACTTGACAATTGCTCAGTCTGAGAGTCTGCTTCTAGGAATTCTCTTCTTATGCGTTTCTAAGAACCAAGTCTCTTTCTTTGACAGGGTGTTGGCTCCAGCTCCGTGACAGTTTTCGGAATGGGTTGGTTAAATCAAAAGCGTACTTAGATACAAACAGCACAGCAGCTGATGGTGCAAAGTAATCTAAATGTTGCAACTGTCCAGCCTTGAATGCTAATGTCTTCATGGCTATGATTAGCATCTTTGGTTTTGATAACACACATTCCCACAGTTTCTATAACAGATGCTTGACTAAAGATTGTCTGTGGCCAAATGAGATTCAACAGAACACTTGCAATGCTCATAGAGCATTCCACCAAATGTTAGTTTAGTTTTTTAATAATGTAGATCTCCTGAGAAATAAAAACTTCTATTTATGAAGCAGGAATTAAGACAAACCACCACCCTGCCATGTACCTTTTCCTCCACAGAAAAATCTACAAAAACCATAAAAAATATAAAAGTAAAATGCAACGCTGTTGGGAAAAGACCAAAAAATAAATGGTGCAAAAAAATGTTAATCTGGTGATAAAGCGCACAGACCCATAAAATAAACATCTATGTTCCAGTAGATTTAATCAGTGGTGGCCACATGTTAAAGCTCTGAATTCTTTGAACCGAATCAACATTAAAACGTATTGTCCCACAGGAGACAAGGGAATAACTTTAGTTTGTCAGTAAATCAAAGTTTAAAAAATGTAATTGGTTCAACAGGTATTCTTGGTGTTCTAGTATCTATCCATTCTCTTCCCCATGCAGAGCCTATTTCAACTACCACAGGGCAATAGGTGGGGTGCACCCTGGACAGATTCCAGGAAAAAAAAAAACATAGACGCTTCTCCTCCTCTGAGGGTGAATATTGTACACACCTGTCCAAAAAGAATATTGTATTTAAGAAACAGTTGAAGTAAATTTAATTTCATATAAATTTCATATTAAATGTATCATTTTATAACAGTATTTGTATTTACATTGCATGTACATGACATGCAATGTACAGGTGTGTACAAACAGGTACTCAGAGACACACGCTATCTTGGTTGGCTGCTTCCTCTAAACATATCATGCATTATCAGTCTTGTATGTTGCTCAGTAACATCCATCCATCCATCCATCCATCCATTTTCTTCCACTTATCTGGGGCCCGGTCACGGGGGCAGCATCCCAAGCAGAGAAGCCCAGACCTCCCTCGCCCCGGGCTACTCAGTCACTAACAGTGTTGGGAAAGTTACTTTAAATTAGTAACTTAGTTACATTACTAGTTACTTCTATCAAAAGTAACTCAGTTACTTCAAGTTACTCGTTACTTTCAGAGTAACTAGTTACTAGGGAAAGTAACTTTGGTTTTACTCAGAATTCTCTGGTTAATGTGTTGCTTCCGTAACTGGATACCCAAAGAAGGTTCTAATCCAGGACTCCCACTGAGGTTTTAGGATTTCTGGAAGCTCCTCATCCCAGCCAATCCTTTCTTTACACATTTGCTGGAGCATTTGTTTCCCTACAAGGACGAAGGGTGCGATGAATCCCAAGGGGTCATATATAGAGGCCACAGTAGAGAGCACACCTCTTCTTGTTAGTGGATTGGATTTCACTTGAACTCTGAACTTGAATGAGTCAGACGTGACGCACCACTCTACTCCAAGAGCTCTTTCCATATGTGGTAAGTCCAAAGCCATGTTCAAATCCTTGATTGTGGCACGCTCTTCTTGTGGAATGGTTGCCATGACATTCTCGCTGTTGGAAACAAACTTATGCAGTCTCAATCGTCCGATACTACAAAGCTCTCGTGATTCCTTGACAAGCTGAATGGCTTCCTTCTCAGTCGGAACACTTGCCAATCCATCATCTACGTAGAAATTCCTTTGGATGAAATGTATAGTTTCTTCGTTGAACTGACCTTGTCCTTGAGTTGCCAGATGTTTTAGGCCAAAATTGGCACAGCCAGGCGACGAGGCCGCTCCAAACAAATGAACCTTCATTCTGTAAACTGATGGTGAGGTTTCCAAGTTGCCATTCTCCCACCATAGGAATCTCAAATAATCTTGATCTTCCCTTTTGACATGAAACTGGTGGAACATTCTCTCAATGTCGCACATGATTGCAACAGAACCTTTTCGAAAGCGACAAAGGACACCCACCAATGTGTTCGTTAAATCTGGACCAGTGAGTAGATGGTCGTTGAGAGATGTTTCTTGGAATTTGGCAGAGCAGTCAAATACCACACGTATTTTCCCTGGTTTCTGTGGATGATAAACCCCATGATGTGGAATATACCAAGCCAATTTCTCATCATTTTCTTCATCAGGACCTTCTCTGCATCACCACATGAAATGATGTCATTCATGAAGCTTACATAGTCTCTGTAGTACTGTTGGTCTTTCTTTAGTCTCCTTTCCAGGCACTTCAAGCGATGTATGGCACATATCTTGTTGTTGGGTAATTTAGGCCTGTCTTCTTTGAATGGCAGTGGCATTTCAAAGTGACCTGTATCATTTTGCACAATGTTTTTTCTCAACTTTGTCAGGAACTTGAGATCATCTTGAGACACAATATCATCTCCAGTTCTTTCTGAGAAGTCTGATTCCAAGACCCTTATGATGTCTGAAGGAGTTACTTCCTTTACTTTGGTTTGGCTCACATAATGCACTACCCTTTTGAGGTTGACAGAAGACTCAACATCTGGTATCACTTGTCTCACTACTATGCGATGACTGATTCCGATTGCGTCCCCATAATCAACACAGGGGTTTCCATTACCAACAATACTCCATCCAAGGTCTGTACGTTGTGCATAAGGCTCGTTCTCTTTGCCAGACACAACTTCTCTCGGAAGCAGGGCTTGTGAACAGTCATATCCGATAAGCAGACCCACGTCACAGTCCTGCAGAGGTGCAATTTCTGACTGTAAGTGTACTAGATGGGGCCACGCTTCTGCAGTTTCATTGGTTGGGATGTGAGTTCTGTTAGCTGGGATGAAATCACGCGTGTACACTGGTGGTAAGGAGATTCTCTTGTTGGAGTAAAAGCCACGGACTTGTAGGTTACTTACTCTTAGAGAACTCACCACTGTAGTTCTTGACGTCATGGTAGAAAGCTTAAGCTTGACTTGCTCTCTATTTATCTGTAAGGTTTCTGCTGCTTCACTCAACACAAATGTTGTGTCACTCTGCGAGTCCAATAAAGCATACACAAGGACTTCTTGTGCTGGTTGTGTTGTGCAGGAAAGCCACACTGGAACTATTGCAGCTGTTTGCATTTTAGCTCCATGAAGCATTACTGTATTTGAAGTAGCAGTTCTGGTCATTTCGTAATCCTGTGCTAGTTGTACTTCTTCATGAACCTCACTCGAAGTTTCATGATTCCGATTTTGCTTGGCCTGTGGTGGTTTTTGCTTCTCTTTGGTTTGTTCTTCGTGT